AGCACTAATTAAAAGAGCTAATGGGAAAGAGGAGAGAGAGAGAGAGATTTAATGGTAAGTTAATGAAGAATATTAAAAGTCTTAAGGGTGATTCATCACTTGAATTATTTTATTTAATTTTAAAATTAACAAAATAAAAAAAAACAGAAAAAAGATAAATGCATTTGAAAAGAAACCAAGAAACAAGACAATTACCTTTGAAAATAAACCAGAAAGAAGAAAACTACTATCTTGGCTCCATTTTAATATACAGAGGTTGAGTAAAATTACTTATTTTACCCAACACCAATGGGATTGTAGCATACACAAGAACGTTCCCAGCAGCCAAAATTTTCCAGGCGGAAAGGACGGCTGAGAAGAAGCTATGAGAAATCAATATTTCCTGATGGGCTTCCCTCTCAAGATCCAATGGGAAAATGGCCTTGTAAACAATGTCATAACTCATATTTATTATCCACAGGGAGGCCATCTGTGGACAGTCGTACACCCCATTGGTTACTTGTTGGTATGGGTGTACAATGGTGGAAACCTGATTAAGTCGACCACACACTGTAACTCTGCATCGGAAACATCTTTTCATGAATAACATATATAAGTATAGAAAATATTTCCAATATACTTCTAAAAGTGCTATGAAGTTGGTGTGAAAGCTGTATGTGAGGATCTATTCCTTGTTCGGGATTCAGAAGGTGGGTGCGGAAACCTTTGAACGGGTAAATAAGAGTAAAAGAATGTGGCAATGCTTGGTCCATTCCGAAAGGGGATTTTCACTTGATTGTAGATGTGGAAGACATTATTGGTTAAATCATGGTTTTCAAAATCAGACCAGACCAGACAATTTGATTGGAAAAATCGTAAATCGGTCATCCGTTTTATTCTAGAATCGTCTTTTGGCCAAAAATCATTAATTTGGTTAGTAAATTGCTGGCTTTGGTGGTTAAACTGTTCAAATTAATTAACGGTTTTTTGACCTTTATTTTATTTTTTTGTCAGAATGGGTTGTTCATTCAGTTTGAAAGGTGGGACCATTCGACCCAGGAATTGGACCCTGAATGGTTTGTTGTCCAGTTCGGTTTTAAAATCCTTGGGTTAAACAACCCCTAAAACAGTTATGAAGTTTAGTTAACAAAGATTTAAAGTCTTAGTATTTTAGGTTGGGATTTTTACTTGATTTAAGATGCTGAATTAGGTTTATTTTGTAATGAAATAATCCACTTTTTCTATAATATGGGAGTTGGACCAAAAAGCCTTTCTGTTGGATTCTATTTGAATAAAAGAACCAGCGTTTGATTCATGCTTTTTACATTCTTATAGGTTTTCACAATGAAAGAGACTTTCACAAGCCAGAGTTTTTTATTTTTAAGTATTTGGTGAAACACACCACTATCACCCCCCCCCCCCAAAGTTGGTGGTGGATAAATGTCAATTATAAATGTATATATATATATATATATCCCACATCCACTTGATAAGTGGGCTGCACTTCACCTCAGAAATCTGAATTGCAGCTCCCTCCTAGTCTACTAGTAACCCTCCTATAAACCACAACCTGTCCATGAATTCAGCATCAATCAACGGGCAGTATTCAGTCCACTCTTAGAAATCCTAGCTCCACCTTAGGGGTGGACTGAACTAAAAAAGAAACCCTTTTTAGGTTAATGGTTGTTATGGTTCTTGTTAAGGTGGGTTTTATATATAAAAAGGTTCTTTTATATGTATGGTTTAGTAGAAAGAAGAGTTTTCTCTTTTCTTGTTGGAGATGAAAAATAGGGGTTAAGAAAAAAATGTAATGAGTGTGTGTAATATTCTAAATACTTAATTACTAGTTATGATTTATGTGATGCACAGGCTTTGTTAAATAGAAATTGCAATAGAAGTAGCTATATAATATTCTCAATTGGGCCAGATTGGTTCAAGTCTAGGAATGGCAATGGGTCATGTTCAAGGCGGGGACCATACACCCCATCCTCAACCCCAGTTTCTAAGTAACTACCCATCCTCGACCCTAATCCTCATCAGGGAGAAAAATGGACCCCTATTCCTGAACCCCTATGTGGAGACAAGTTCCCCATCAGGGACCCAATTCCTCGAATTCTTTTTTATTTTTAATTAAAATTTTATTTGGGAAAAATTATTTAAGAAAAGAAAAAATATTAATCTAAATTGGTTTAACACTTAAATAACATTTATTTGAGTTCAAATGAATATAAATCTATTTAATAAAACATATAAAAATAATATTTTAAAATATTTAATATATATATATTTAAAATTTAAAATATAAATAGCATTGATTTAAAAAATATTTAATATATTACAGTCGAGGTAGGGTCAGGGTGGGGACTTCACTCTCCATCCCTACCCTCATCCCTGATCAAATATCTGAATTAATCCCCATCGTCCTCATCCCTATCCTTGCCAGAATAGTCTCCATATTCAACCCAATCAGGTCAAGGAAGCTAGGTAGATACCCAGCGGGGATGGGGAAAACAGCCATCACTATCCAAGTCGAAGTATTGTTTTGTAGGTTATGTCTAGTTGGTCTATTATTTATACATCCATGTAGATTTGTAAATTAATTAAGATCCATTTAAGTTAAATAGATAAATAATTCATCTAGATATAAAATGAGTCAATAATTAATTCAAATATTTCACCCAAGTTAATTAGAATTGAATTAATTATAGTTAATAACAGATTAATTATTAATATGATTTAATAATCTACTTATATACAAATATAATTAATTGTTTAAATTATTACAATTGGGACACACATAATTAGGGTATAACAGGTAATTAGTGTCTTTATATTTCAATTGTAATTAATATCGGATAATTAATTAATAATTTACTTAACAATCTGATTTTATTGAAGTGAATATAAATTAATAATTGGTATCCCATATATTGAAGGGGCTGATGTCATATGACACCCATATGCAATATGGGTTGTTCAAAATCGGGCCACCTAATACCCGATTAGCCAATCTTCTTCACCCGCATATATAAAACTGGTCTTGCAAGACATGCTTTTGTGCAACCAGCATGACCCATTTGATTGTTTTGGCCGGTGACCAAAAACCTAGCCAAAAAAACAAGCAGTCCATTTTGTAGAAAACTTCCTGTTTATCGTCTTTACAGCATCTAGATCTGTTATGTTTTGTTTCTTTATCACAATCTCTCTCTCTTTCTGGCTTGTCTCCGATCAGAGGTATCAAAGGTGGAACCACCGATCGATCTTGGTGTGCAATTCACACATTCATCATTCGTGGTCTAGTCTTCGCAATTGCAATCAAACCCCCATTCATTATTCGGAAACATTATTCAACTCTCATTTTTTTCATTTCCAAGATGAAATTCTATTCCAAGCTGGAAAAAATTAGTAAAAATGGGTAAAATAAAAAATTATTTGCTACAAATCAAATGCTTTTTTTCTTAAAAGGTGAATTCTTTTTGTATCCACAATGAGAGTAAATTTTAATCCATTTGGTTACAACTTGTTAATTTCATTCTCATTCATTTTTTCATTAATCAAAATAATAATATCATAATCAACCGTGTCCTACAAAACCAGTAATGATTGAGGCCCATGAAATTCCATCCTTATGGGTAAGATTACTCTAAGCTCCCACATTTGGAGTTAGGGTGGATTTGAGCCAAAACGAACTGGATATCTAACTATTCGAGCTAGTCTAACCAATAAATTCTAAGGCTTGACCTTGATTCGAGCTAGAGATGAGCTTAAATTCGACTTTAGTCAAAAGCTCACAAGTTCGAGCTCGGTTAAGCTCAAGCTTGACTATGAGTCAAATGTTTTATAAAAACAAAAAATTAAACATATAAAAGAAGTATTTTTTTATTTGACATATAAAAAATTAAGAATTATAAAAATTAATTATTATATATAACATTTTGTATTATATCTATTATTTTTTATATGCATGATATTTTCATATTTATTATATATATATATATATATATATATATATATATATATACATATAATAATAATTGTTTATTATATATATATATTTTTTTATATTTTATATATATATATATATATATATATATATATATATATATCAATTAGGCATGCAAGCCTTTATGTGTTGGGCTTTATTGGGCACAAGTTTGGCTCAAATCTCAGTTCAAATCTAATCGAATTGAGCTTTTCATGAGCTGAACTCGAATAACTCGTGGAAATCTCAGCTCATGGCCACCCCTACTACAGGAAGCCCTTGTAAGAAGAAGAAGAAGAAGAAGATGAGGAGGAGGAGGAGGAGGAGGAGAAAGAGGAAGCCAAAAATTGTATTGCCGAAGTTCTTAATCGCCGATGGCCGCGCCAAGTTCAGATCGGCTGCTGCAATCAGCCACAACAAGAAGCTTGCTGGTGTTGACCCACCTTCGTTCGCCTGAAGAAACCCGTCGATGCAAGGCTTCAATCTGTTGAAAAGAGAAAACAGGAAGCCCTTGTAAGGAGAAGAGTAAGAAAAAGAGGTAGAGGAGGCCAAAAAACGTATAATCGGAGTTCTCGCCACCGATGGCCACTAGTTTGGGTCACTATCCACTGTTGTTGTATGGTCGCCTGCATGGTTTTCAAAATCGGACCAGACCGGACGGTCGGACCGGAAAACCGAGAGCCGGTCAGGTCCGTTTTCCCAAAAACCATTGATTTTGGTCAGCGAACCGTTCACCGCTGAACCGTTCGGTGGAGAGAAATTTTCAGACAATCGAATATTTTTGTCTTTTTGTGGCCGGTTGAACGGGTTATACCATGTTAACGGTGCAAAGCCCGTTAACGTTATGAATCTCGATCCTGTACGCGTGGTCGATTGTGGTTGGTGGGTTCACACGTCCAGTGAACCCACCGGTGCACAGAACGCGAACTCCGCTGATAAGTAATAACCCCTCGACATATTCGATTGTTGCGGGAATCGAATCCGCGTCTCTTCCGAAGCTAACGTACCAACTGAGCACCCCCTCAGTTGTATGGGAATTTGTGATCGTTCATATAAACTATTTACATTCCTGGTCATTTTTCCCAGTGTTTCGCATCAGCTCCCTGAACTTTTTCAATCTTATAACCGTGAACTTGGAGGCATTTTGTCGGTAATTACGAGTCCATATCCTCTGGCACCACTGAACGCTTCTCCTACCCGAGACCATTTGTTCGACCAGAAAACCTACGTCTCTTTTGCTTTCTTTCACGATCTTGAATTCAATAACAACAATGGCGAAATCGAGCGCTGACGACGCGGAGCTCAGGCGAGCCTGTGAAGCCGCTCTGGAGAGCATTGGTACGAAACATAAGGTCGCCATGTCAATCCGCGTTGCAAAGAGCCGTGGGGCGAAGGGTAAAGGTGGAAAATTAAAAAGCATGGCCAAACCAAGGGTTCTTGCTGTCACGAGTACGTAGTTTCCTCTCTGATTTCTTTGAAATCCATTTCCGGATTGATCATTTTGACGATCTGGAAGCGAATTTTTATTGCGTTTACGTACGTAATTATGTATTTCTGTTAGTATTTCTTTCTGGCAATACTCGGACTTCTCGGTTTCACAGATCATATGTATTCAAGCGTGAATTTAGTTGTTTGGATAACTGTCAATGCTCAATCCCTTTTCTGCTCCGGGAAGTGGTGTTTCCTTGTGTTTATATGAAGCCAGCAATATTTAGTCAACATTTTATTTTATTGTTTCAGTTCAACTTATAGGATTAGAGTTGATCTAGTTATACTCTTTCTTGACTCAAGTCTGGTTGTTTGAATCGGTTATTAAGTTTTAGTTGCATGGAAGCATGCACACGGAATTATGGACAAACTGGTGGAAATTCATTTCCAACAGGTCAGAGATAAAAGGCTTCCTGACACCAGGTGTCAGATAATTCAAAGTTAGAATTCTAAGACTAATGGGAAAATTTCTCTACTATGAGCCTGGCAATGTCTTGGGAATGAATCCACTTGCGTCAGTTTGGTTCAGTTTTGCACCTGAAGGCTTTAATAAGAAGTGAGGATAAATGGATAATTACCTCGTACCCTTTAAACTTGGAGAGTCCAATCTAATTTTGCATTGAAGCTTGTTCGCATATAAAAATGTACTGGTTTGGAGATTTCAGGATGTGAGTGGAGGTATGCATATGGTTACTGCATAGTGTAATCTATAAATTCTTAAATAAATCAGGAGTTTGCATATGGTTGCTGCGTAATGTAATCTATAAATTCTTAAATATATCAGGAACATTTACTGGTGAGATAAATGCTGGATTAGTACAAAACTTAACTAGACTGATTGCTGAAGTTAGCAAGTTATCACAATAAGGGAGTCTGTGTGGAAGCAATGGTCACTCTTTATCACCAAGAGTATCTCATCTCAAGTTGCATTCATGGTTCTTTAATCTTTATATCTAATATCCCTAATATCAAGGAGCTAAAACATAGGGTATCTCCAAGTTTGACCTTCTGCATTCTTATGGCAGTTTCTCCAGGCCATTAATTCATTTTGGTCCAATAGGTGATAATTGTATATTTCTAAACTCTCTGGTGGATACTACCATCTGCTAGGTGACATAGTATGGGCAAGTTTTTTTTTTTTTTTGGTGTGGTCCAATAGATGATAATTGTATATTTCCAAACACTCTGGTGGATGCTACCTTCTGCTAGGTGACATAGTATGGGCAAGTTTAATGCATATGATTTGATATATACAAAAAGTAAGACTTTTATGTTATGAGTTCTAATTTTTATAACTCATTAATTCTGGTGAAATAGAAGAAAATTTTTTAATTGATTGATTTTTATTAGCAAAAACTACTAGGTTTTGTTTTCTATGGCATGAACTGCAATTACCATTTGTTTATGCAGCAAAATTAAAGGGTCAAAGGACAAAAGCTCTTCTTCGTGTCTTCAAATACTCCAACGGAGGAGTTCTTGAGGTAATTGTCATCATGTCTTTCTTATGAAAAGAAAATATTCAGTCAATCGGAGATCTTCTATTATTATAATCACCCTTCATGTATCTTCATCCAGCCTTTTCAGTAAAATGGGATGCAATGGCTATGACAGTTTCTTTTTGATTGCTAATGGCTACATTTGTTAGTGCTGCTTTGGTTTTAGGGGATGCTGTGCTGGAACCATTATTAAAACTGCCCTTCCACCTAGAGCAAAGTTTGGGGTTTTGAAATAAAATTTATTAGGGTTTGTAAAGAAGTAGGGCATAGTCCATATTGGGGTAGATAGGTGGGCCTAGTCTACCACAATGGGGAGTTTTGGCACATCTTATGTATATTGTTATATGTAATACATACACCTATTCTTTCATGATTAAGTAGTAAACCAGTAAGTTTTTGTTGCTGATAAAGAAAGGACTTTTGTTAGGAAAACAAAAAGAAGACTGTAGGACATAGTCCAGTCCAATGCATCACATATTTGGACTCATTTGTTATCCTTTAACCCCAAATGTTAATGTAATTACCCAAAATAGTTCTCTAAAAAATCAATAGATTGGAAAGAGTTCTTAATACTTATAAAGTAACCAAAAAGAAAGGTCCTCAGCAATGAAAAACAGTGGGCAATATGTGAAAAAACAATGCCATTTAAGTTACATTCCTCTTCCTTAAGGTTTCTTTGCTCAAAGTTTGTGTCTGAAGTGATGAAAATATTTTGTTGCACTTGTAGCCTGCGAAAGTGTACAAGCTAAAGCATCTTTCAAAGGTGGAGGTTATTTCAAATGATCCCAGTGGATGTACATTTACATTGGTAATGACCTATTTTCTCTGAATTTATACTTTCTTTACATTTGAAGTTCCCATTGGCAGTTTAAACATTATGTTATTTCACTGACCAGCTGGATTTAGAATAGTTTAACAATGAAAAGAGGTTCTTTGTTGCATTTAGAAGTTTCAATTTTGTTTGATATTTTTATTGTCCTTTTCATTCACGAACATCATACAGGGATTTGATAACCGAAGCTCTTCACCACCCCAATGGACAATGCGCAACATTGATGACAGGTGCATATATATATATATATATATATATTCCAAGCCCAATATCCAGTTTGATTTGTTGCTAAGATAATACCATGTTCTGCATGCAAAGGCAGAGGTCTATATTAATCAATCAAATTTTTATGGATAGTTCTTGTTTGCTTTGTTTAATCAACAATATTTTGTTTATTATGTTTTTTGCTTGTAGGAACCGCCTTCTGTTTTTCATCTTAAACATGTGTAAAGAGATATTGGGCCGCCTTCCCAAAGTTGTTGGCATTGATATCGTTGAGATGGCTCTTTGGGCTAAGGTGCAAATAATAATTCTTATTTTTTTTCCTACTATCATTTCATGGATTTATCTCATTTAAGAACTAAATTTTTTTATGTACCTTCAGAGAGGCTGCAAAATAGGATTTAATGTTTGATTTTAGCTTTAAGTTATATGTCAGAGAATATCTTTTATTGCTCACAATATGCTTGAAAATTTCTCACTGTAAAATTGAATTGTATCTTTCTGACTTTTTTGATCAGTAACAAAACCTTTTATTTTTTAAAAGAGAAATTTACAAGAATACATTCACCTCTGACCCATTTGGAAGATAAAAAGTTTATCTCCCATAAAAAGTTTGTCTCCCATACGGTGGAAACCCTGGCTGCTCATTAGATGATGCTACCCTTAAATTTTGTTTTCTGCTCCAGGTACTCACATGTTGATTCTCTTATAAATATCACATTTTGAGATTAGAGTCTAACAAGTTATTTTTCATTGATTTATAAGGGCCAAGTCGTGGTTTTGCTTTTGCTTGATTGGATGCTTAATTATCTCATCTAGAACAACTAGAAAGTAGAATTATCCTCTCTCTCTCTCTCTCTCTTTCTCTTGACACTACTGGTTTTAGGTTTATGTAGTTTGCAATGGACTCTTTCTATTGTGTTTCTTGTGTAAGAAATTATCTCTGAATTGTTGGTTTTCACCAATCTTGTATAGGAAAATACATCTTCTGTCACTACTCAGGCATATCCTCAAGATGGGCCTGTTGCATCCCTTGTAACAGAAGACTTGAAAGTAACTGTTGAACGAGAACTTGTATCACAAGCTGAAGAAGAAGACATAGAGGCCCTTCTTGGCACGTAAGTATCAAAATATTTATTAGTTAGGACTTCTATTTCCCCTTCCCCTGTCTGCTGTCTGTTCATCCTTTTGAAGAAAATAAGAAAAAAAGTAGCAGTGGGTAAATTATCTAAAAAAGAAAAAAAGGTTGCAGTGGGTGTGATCAGTTATTTATAGTATATTCTAGTTGTCATGTGGTCATTTGTTATCTAGACTAGTGCATGTTTAAAGTTTCATTTGCTTCTGATATGTCCTTATAGGGCGGCTGGTACAATAAACTCAATAGAAAACTCAAAAACACTACTCCAAAGGGTCCCAACAAGTATGCTGTGGTCCCCACTCCCTAACTAAACAAATAATAAATAAAAACAACTAATAAAACTGTAAAAAATCCTCAACAGACGCCCTACATAAACTGAAATAAAAAAGACAAAACACCTTTTAATAAACCAACCTATAATGACTAAAATATCCCTTTGCCAGCTCTAACAATAATGATTAAAAGAATGAGTATGTACAATAAGTGCTAAGCCCCCAAAGATATAGGCTAGGATTTGCATTTGACCTGTAAAATTCCTTGGATTCTTTTATAAATGTCCACAAAACATTTGAGTTCTATGACTACAAGCCTCCCCTACTTGATTGAAGCTATATAGTTTCTTATTTAACCTTGAGTGGGAGGAACCTTGGGAAGGTTTGGTGTCGAGGGCCTTTCCATCAGTAAGGAAGAGACTTATTGGAGGCAAAAATCGAGGCACAAGTGGATCAAGAAGGGGAATGGTAATGCCAAATGTTTTCATGCAATCAAAAATGGTGGGAGGAAGAATTTTGTGGAAAAATTGGAGGTGATCTCAGATCAGGATCTAATTGCTAAGACTTTTGTGGATCACTTCAAATTTTCTTATAAAAGATAGGATGGGGTTAGGTTTAGTGTGGAAGGGTTGGAGTGGCTAGTGCTAAATGGACAAGTAACTAGATTTTTAGAGAGTAATTTTGACTTGGAGTAAATTAGTAAAGCTATATTCTCAATGGATAGATATAAAGCCTTGGGGCTATATAGATTTACTATGGCTTTCTATCAGGATTGTTCAATGAATTCACTGATAGGCATTTTATTAGCCTTGGTTTTAATGCTACTTTCCTAGTGTTAATTCCTAAGATGGATGCCATTCAGTCAAAGGATTCTAGACCCATTAGCTTGGCCACTAGCATTTGCACATTATTGAAAAGAAATAATATAGAAAAGAGAAGAGAAGAGGAAGACAAGAAAAAGAAAAGAGAATGTTTAGAGAGGCCAATAAGCAGGGCTGACGACACCCAACAATCTATTTATAATAAAATGATAGCTTAATAAAAGTAAAAGTACAATAGTGCCCCTATGAAACAATCTAAAAGAAAATCACAACACTCCCCTCAAGTTGGGATGTATAAATCAATCATGCCCAACTTGTGACATGGTTTTTTTGGTAATAAATAAAAATAAAACTTTTATTAAAAAGAACAGAGATAAACAAACAAATGACAAGATATCACCCCCAAAAATAACACCCAAGACCCACCAAAACACAACCTCATCATCATCATCATCATAGTGGTCATATTCAGGTTCCCCCAATTCGTTTTCTTCATCATCAGCCTCCACCAAGTAATGAAAGAAGAAATTGGCTCATTTTTAAAATCAGATAGGGCATACAAAGAGGGAAAATGGTCCTTTAGGGGGGCATTCCCCACCCAAGTTTGTTCCCAAAATTTTACGGAGTTACTTGAATTCAAATCGTACCTGATAAGAGGGGAGAAGACTGGCAACAAATCATGAATGGCTTTCCAAGGTGAAGCGCTTGTGGTCCTGGCTCTGATTCCAGCATCCCATCCATTTTGCTCCAGCCCATGTATGCTTGCCACTATTCTAGCCCATAGTTTCTCATGCTCCAATGGGAACCTCCACAACCACTTCCCCAGAAGCGCTGAAATCACCACTTTAATGGATAGTATATGCCTTTTGGGTTTGAAAACAGCAAAAAGATCCTTATACAAACAAGAAAAGGGATTTATATAGTTGCCTTCGAACAAAGTGGTGCCCTAACACCCAATCTGACCAAAATATCACAACTTAAGTGACTCACATGACAGTCACATGACTCAAATTAAAGGAAATAGTTATACAAATACCATTAGATATTAATTCTAAAAATCATGAATCAATTTGAAACTATTTTTTATTTTTCTTGTTTAAAATGAGGTTATGCATTAAAAAATAAAACCAAGACAAATAGTACCTGTAGCTGAAGTGCTGAGCCACATAGACAAGGTTTCTAGGTGAATGCATGGGGCTTTTCAGCTCACAAACATGATTCATTTTTTTTGCAATAGGTGATTATTTGTGGGCTTTTTCTTCATTTATGTTTTAGATATTTTTTCTGTAGTGGGCCTGAAGTTATTGGGTCCGAATTAGATCTTTTATTTGTGTCTGAGTGTTCCTTCACAAATCAGGGGCACATCAGTCATTTTATGTATCATTAGCCCCTTAATATAAATATTACTTTAGAGCCGGTTGAGAACACACTTCCTGCCCACTCGTTCTCTTCTCTCTTCTCTGTTTTCTTTCTTTTGCCCTAGTAACCATTACAAGTTAGCAAACACATCTGTTGAAGTCTTCTGTTGGATTATCTGTTATTTGTTTGCTTGCCCATATTTCATTGGCAAACACATCTCTTCTCCCTTCTTTTCTTTTACATTATCTCTTTGTTACAGTATGGACTTGAAACAATATGCAGATATGTCATGGGTATTGGGGAAGCAGAGGCTTTTTCTGAAAGGTTAAAGAGAGAGTTACTTGCTTTGGAAGCAGCAAATGTACATGCCATTTTGGAAAGTGAACCTTTGGTAGATAAGGTAATTCTGATATAGAAAATCAAAGCTTTTAATGTAGAGTTTTTTTTTTTTTATTGGTAAAGTAATAGATTTTATTAGATAATGAATGGGAATCTTATGTACAAGAATGGTGCTGAGAATTCCATTTTTTGTCTAGCTCTACTAGCTGCCCCTCTTTTTCCTTCCCCACAAATACAACCTATCCCTTTTAACTCCTTTTGTTTATGCAAAAGTTTTGGATTTTTATCATATTATCTCCTCTTGGACACTTATATAAGCCTCTTAATTCATTGTAAAGAAAATCCATAATTTCCATAATCTAATATCATCTGAAGGGATAGGAATTGGTACTTGAATCTGATTGGAAATTACAGTGCCATCTATTCTGTAATGCTTTTACTTGTAAATATGTTCTAGGTACCCCGAACCATATCCATTTCAACCTTCCTCTCTTAGAACCTCAAACTGCACTAAATGCACTCAGTCCTCGCTTCTTTTTTTTTTTGTTTTTTTTTTTTTGATAAAAGGGAAATGAGATTAGTACACATAGCCGTGGAGATTCTAGGACTGATGTATAATTTTATCATAGTCCATTTTGTATAGGATTATTGTAATCTATAGTCTTTGCATTTGTTCTTTTTTTTTTTTCTCTTTTAGACTTTTATGGGCATTTCTATAATTGTACTTATCATGCTAATCTAATAGAGGCTTTTTGGGTGGGGGTCGACTATTCTATTGACACCCTGAAACTGTTTGTCTTTCTTCTTGCTGAAACCTTCTTGTTGACATGGTATCAGAGCATTTGAGTTGATTCAAGACCTGGGACTTAAAAGGATGATTCAAAGGGATTTAGATCTCTATTTGAATACTCTTTCAAGACCATTTTGAGGGCCATTTTCAGCATTCTTTTTGATGCAAGGAAGATTTCCTTCTCACTCCTTTCTTCACAATAAGCTGTAGTCAATCAAATGAAATTCTGACTGTAGACAGCCTTAATCCTTTGGATTTTTGCGTACAAGAAGGGAACCATAGTCAATCAAATTGAATATTTGATTGTAAACAGTTTTTGTCCCATTGTTCTTCATTTTCATTTGAAGGGAACCATAATCGGCCCCTGAGGATTAGATTGTAGATGGTTTAATCCCTCACTTTGTCTTGAAAGAGAAGGGACCATAGTCAACCAAGTAGAGGCACCTGGTGGTAGTTGGTTTATTTCCCTCTATTTCCTTTCTCAAAAGTGAAAACAAAAGAGAGAGAAAAACGGATACATAGCAGAAGACATATATAGGAAGTATTCACAGAGAGGATTTTCCTTCTCCTACCTGTATTAGTGAGACTTCTTTTCCTTCCCTGTCTTTCCTTGAGCACTTCTCTTTTCTTCTCTCTTTATCTTGGCTTTCCTTAAGATTCTCTTTAAACAATTTTCTCTACTGAGGGGCTTCTAGCTTACCCTTAAGGAACTTAAATAGGGAGTGGGGTAGTTTTTTAACTACCTCCTCCTAGGTGAAGGACACCTGTCCCTCCCTCTTAAAGAGAGAACTCCCATACAGGACACTTTTTTTTTATAGTTTTGATGACTTGGCTAGCAGACTAGCCAACTTGCTTATTTGGGTTATAAATTATTAAATATTATTTGTATTAAAAGATGCCTTCAACAGTGTCTCCTTGAGCACTATAGGTCCAGAATCTTAGAATGTATGCATACATGGCTTAGATAAGCAGTTAGAGTCAAAACTTATGGAAGTTCTACCATTAGAAAAAAATTGAGCCAAAATTGGAAGAGTCCTAGTACGATTGGGACTCTTGCAATATCTTTCATTAGACAAAATAATCTAACTACTTAATTGATTTGATGAGGCTTTATAGTTACTCCTAGTTTCTAGTGTTCTCAAGGAGATCAAGGACATATTTCCTCTGTGAAATGAAGATACCTTGTCTAGAGCGGGCCACTTCAATTCCCAAGAAATATCATAGGTCACCAGGGTTTTTCACTTCAAATTCCTTATTAAGCAATTATTTGAGAGAATCAATCTCATTTGGTCACAACAATGTTGTCCACATACACTGCAAGAAGGGTGAGAGAAGCACCATTTATCTCAATGAAAATAGTGTGATCGAGTGGGCCTGTACATAACCAAACTTCAAATTGAGTGAGGACCATTTGATGAAAAGCATGAGTTAAGGTGGGAACCTCATCTCGAGAGTGCATGAGATAAACCCATGAGAAACAGGAGTAATCATCAACACACACAATAAGAAATACTTATACCCCCCATATTAGGAATACGATATGGCCCCCACACATCAGTATGCACAATTTCAAAAGGAGTATTGCTTCTTTTAATACTCAAAAAATAGGAGGATCTACAATGTTTTGCAAGCTCACAACTCTCACACTTCAAAAAAGACATTTGAATTGACTTAAATAAAGCAAGAAACAAGTTTTTTAAAGACCCAAAAGATAAATGACCCAAACAATTATGTCAAAGCATAATTCGACTCACAGACTAAGAAACAAAAGACTTTGCAACTCCTTTATCACTTCCAGGTGGGTGCTCGAATAGGTAGATTCCATTCATCTCATGGTTAGTCCCAATCACCTTCCTTGTCACCAGATCATGGAAAACACAATGGTCAGGAAAGAAGGCTATTGAGCAATTCTAGCTTCTTATAAGACTACTGACTAAAAGTAAATTAGTGCTAACGCAAAGCTGAGGACAAGGTAATGGCATCAGAGACTTTGATGTCTCCCTTGCCAGAAATGGGAACAAGGGAGCCATCATGTATGGATACTCTATCTTCGCCTGAAGACAAATTGTATAAAGTGAATAATGAAGACAGCTTGTCGTATGATCTGATCCAAGTAGGGTTAGTGTTTACCTAGAGTAGAGGCATGAAAAATAGTGGCTCTTGTACTTGAGTGGGCAAATGCTGATGTGGAGGAAGGAGGTGTAGTGGTAGGTTGAGATGATACTCACAAAATACACCTTTCTTTCCTTCATTCTTTATCTCTTTCTCCCTCTCACCACTATACTTGTGTCTTGCAGCTGCTAATGCTACCTCTATTTGAGAATTTTGTAGCATAACCTTCTTCCTACTCTCTTCATTATGTACTAGGGAGTAGGCTTGAGACAAGGCAACATTTTCCCTAGTGAGAAGCTGCTGTCTAACAATGTCAAAATCAAAATTCAGACAAGAAACTCAAAAACTCTATTTCTCTCGACCAACTTATTATAAGTTGCATCCTTATTATTCTCCCACTCAATTGTTTCAAGGTGATCTATCTCATGCCATAAGGATTTTAGAGTAGAGAAATAAATTGATACAGGTTTCTCCCCCTGCTTTAGATTGTTCACTTCAGTTTTCAACTCATAATCTCTAGACACATCAAGTGGCTGTGAGTAAGTCTCTTTCATATTATCCCAAATATCCTTGCTGTCTTTGCCCAAAGGTAATTTCTACTAATATGGGGCTGCATCGAGTTGCACAACCATGTCATCACAAGATGATTTTCTTGAATCCATTTTGCATAGGAAGGGTCTTCTTTGGCTGGTTCCTTAGTGTCTCCAATCACATAGCCTAACTTTGCCCTTCCTCCAATGGCCATCATGGCAGATTGAGCCCACTCCAAATAGTTTGAAACATCAAACCTGATTGTGGTAATCTGAAAAGGGTTGTTATCAGTCATACTAACAACCCTTTCAACACCTTCTCCAGTAGGTTTCTGTTCACTCCCTAAGAACTCCATGCTGAGCTCAACACAGAGAAGAAAAGGAACACAGTTGGGGTGACACCTTACAAACTTCAGTAGATTTCAAAAAAAAAAGGGCAGTCACACCTCACAGAGATTTCAAAAACCTTACCTCCTATTACAAACTTCAGGAGAGTTAAAAAGACTACCCAGAAACTTTTGGGCAGCACCTTCAATCTGAGATTTAAACCCTAAATCTCACCTAAAATTAAGTTTTCTCTGATTCTTCCTGACTGCTGGGCAATCTCCAAGAACAGAAGTTTCTTGGGCAAGGCTTCGAACTTCACCAATCTCCAAGAATTAGGCCACGAAGAGAACTAGATCTCCAACCCTATTATAATCTCATGTAGCCAGCTGGGAAGAGCTCACATGAGATTCACGAGCAGAACTAAACCTGCTCTGATACCAACTTGAAGTTACTACTGTTAGCAGAATTTTTAGGTTGAAAAATAACCCAGAAATTGAAAGAGAAGAGAGAAGAGAGAAGAGAGAAGAAAAGAGAAGAAAAATAGAAGAAGAAAAGGAGAGGAATGGGCAGAATATTCTATTTCTGCTGCCCTAAGCAGTATTATCTATATGTGTTTAACATAACATTAGGTAGAAGGACAAAAATGCCCTGCTACCTATAACAGTACAAGAAAGCAAGCATAAAGCAAAAAATAAACCACAAAAAACTGAACTTATGGGACCACAAGTAAATATATCAGGTTTTGTCCACTGTATCACTACACTTGTCACCCCCAAATTTTGGTTTCATGGCTGCTAGGGCTGATTCCATAGGCTGAAACTGCAACATAACCTTTCTCCTACTTTCCTCACTGTGCACTAGAGAATAGGCCCGAGATAAGGTCATAATCTCCCTTGTGAGCAGTTGTTGTCTCACAATATCATACTCTGAATTCAGACCAGTTAGGAATTGAAAAACCCTATTGGTCTCAACCTGTTTTCTATAGGGTTTTGCTTCCTTCTGACTTTCCCACTCAGTTTCCAGATAATCAATTTCATACCATAAAGATTCAGAGTGGAGAAATAAACTGAAACTGGCTTCTCCCCTTGCTTGAGATTGTTTACTTCACATTTCAGTTCATAGGCTCTAGCAACATTGAGTGGCTGAGAGTATGTTTCCTTCATCACTTCCCAAATCTCCTTAGCTGTTTTTGCCCACAAATAATTGCGGCTAATATGAGGTTGCATAGAGTTACATAGCCAAGTCATGACCAAATAGTTCTCTTGAACCCATTTGGCATATGAAGGGTCTTCCTTGTCCGGTTTCTTTACATCTCTATTCACATAACCTAGCTTCCCTCTTCCCCCAATCGCCATCATGGCTGACTGAGTCCATTCCAAGTAATTAGAACCATCAAATTTAACAGTAGTAACTTGAAAATTGTTTTCTCCCATGTTTCCAACCCCCAAAACACCTTCCCCTTGAGTCTTAAACTCAGTTCCTGCCATTTCTATAATAGGTTATCCCCCCAGAAAAGGTTCTCACCCAAGAAAAAACATGTTTAGAAGCTGAAACCAGTCTAGAAATTACTTAGAAAACAATCTGGAATGCTGAAACTGATTCAGGAATCACCCAAAAGGTGTTACAATCAGGTCTAATCGTAAGGTTAAGGAAAACCCTAGAGAAAACTTTGAGAGAACAGAAGCAATTCTCTAGGGTTAAGAGCAAACCCTAGATAAAACTATGAGAAAATAGAGAAATTCTCAGCCACTCCTTCTAGACAGGTCCAATCTATCTCTGACTGGTGTCAATCTCAAGGAAAGATGGAAACTTACCTAGAAAAATCTGATCACCACTTCTAATCTCAGTCTAAACCTGAACCTTGATCCTTTATGATCTTCTCTAATTCTTCCTGATTACCAAACACTCTCCAAGCCTCTACAAGTCCTTGGACATTTGCTAAACTTTTCTGGTAACCTCCAAGAATTAGCCAATGGACAGATATTTCTAAGCTTCCTCACCAGTGATATACCCCAAATTCCCACGAGCACCAATGGCCATCTTTGCAGATTGTGACCATTCTAAGAAGTTTGTACCATCCAACTTAACTGTAGTGATGGTCCTAGCCCCGAAAAGGTCTTCAACACCTCCTCTCCCTTGTTCCGTTTCACTTCCCGATTTGTTTTCAACTCCGTGACCCTCCATTATTCCCAACAAAGGGTTAGAAAATCACTTTGAGATGAAGAAAAAAGAAATAATCCCTTTCAGGCACCACACACACCCTTCTAGAACCCTAGGTGGTCCTTCTACAAAAGATTCCCTTTTTGTGGAACGAGAGAAGAGAGAGAAAAACCAGCCGCTCCCTCTAGAGGCCTCCAAAAGAGATTGGACTTGAACCGCCCCCTTCAGAAAACTCCAAGGAACCCAAAAAAATCAGGGCACCACTTCCTAGGTCAAAATTGAAGAGTCTTACAAAAACAGGACTCTCCCCCTTTCTCCAGTTCTTCCTGAATTTGATGGGAAACCCTAGACCAGCTACAGGGCAAAATAGGTCCACCAAAAAATCCAAAAACTGGGCTTACCTGAGGTCTTCGATCAGTCTCTCATTATCACCATGCAATTGGCCGATCTAGGGCTGCATGATAGAACAGCTCAAGAAACCTTCGGCCTGCTCTAATACCAAGTAGAAATTGTTGACAACAGTTTTAGATGAATGCCTTGTGAAGAAAAGTAGAAGAAGTTGAAAGGTTTCAGTAGTAGAGAAGAAGAGAGGAGAAGAAAAGAGAGTGGATGTCGCCAGAATTGAATAGATTTGGCCGCCAACCCCTCTTGATTACAAGAATACCCTTAGTAGGGTGGCTACTTTAAGTAGCTGAACAGTCACAACTTAAACTAACATAAACTAATGGGCCTATGGCCCAATAACTTCCTAGCTTAACAACTTAAAAATAAAAAATAAAAGGCTGGGCCCAATAACTTAAAATCGGCCCAACTCAACACCCTGATTTTGTTTTTGCACTGGAGTTGAGTCCATTTCTCTATTAGTCCCAACTGGGTTTTCCTCAAAGATAGGAGTGGCCATTTCCAGCATAGCCCCTTTTGGTTCCAAAGGAAATCTCCAAAGAGGAGCTTTGTGCCCGGTTCTTTCTCTTCCGAAACTTCGTGCACTTAGTCGTCACTAGTATAAGCATTCACTGCATGTTAGCATGATTTTCTCTGTTTTATCATCCATTAGGGTTTGACTCCAGTATCATTGTTTTATTAGAAAACATTGTATTTGTTAATACTGGTAGGACTCATAACGCTGGCACTGATTTGTTTGCTCCTTGCATAAAATGGTCTAAGCCCTTTCTAAAGTAGGAAATGCATAGTGATATTGTTTTTTTGGACTTTCTTATTACTATTATTATTATTATTATTTTTTGAAAGTCCCTTTGGTAACTTCACTAGTTGGTATATTTAACTGCTCCAGCATTTGAATCATGCAGGTATTGCAGGGGCTAGAATCAGCAACAATTTGTGTGGATGATATTGGTGAGTGGCTAGGAATTTTTAATGTAAAGCTCAGACACATGAGAGAGGACATTGAATCAGTATGGCCATCTTCCTGCTTGATACTCAAGTAGTTCTCTGAAGGAAAAACTGGTCACATGACATAAATCTAGAATTCCATTTTTCGATTAAGGAAAAATGGTACTTGCTTCTACAATTATTTTATAATATGAAGTAGATTTTATACACATCCGGATGCATTCATAATACTTTAATGTTATTAGTATTATTTTTTATCAATAACAGAACTTTTGTTAATAAATTAAGAAACAGATACAATGAAGCAAGGGGAGGGGTAAAATCTCTTAATCCTCCCTGAGTACGAAATCAATGACTCTGATGGTAGCCTCCTTCTGCTGCCTTAGCAGTCATCCTACTTAAACCTTCCATCACTATCAGAAATAAGAGTGGTGAAAGGGGGTTACCTTACCTTGGACTAGAGCCTTACAGTTTCCTTTGGCTGGACCATTTAAGAGAATTGAGAACTTGGTTGTAGTAACATAGATCTTCATCCAATTTATCCATTTCTGTCCAAAATGCATCCTGGTCAACATATAATCTAGTAAAGGCCAATTCATGTGATTGAAGGCTTTCTCAATTACAAACAAGATCCTTCTTGTCACTGGTTATCCTTGAATCTATTAACTCATTAGCTATTAGGACCCCATATTGGACATATTTATTATGAATGAAAGCCCCTTGAGAGAGTGAAATGATTGAACTCATCACCGTTCTTAGCCTTGATGCCAACAGTTTTTCTATGATTTTGTAGACACTACCAATCAAATTTATAGGCTGGAAGTCATTCAAACCAGCAACACCTTTCTTCTTTGGAATTAGAGAAATGAAGGTAGCATTAAGACTTCTCTCTAGAGCTGCCAGAGAATGAAATTCATTTAATACTTTTAGCAGATTCTCCTTCACCAATTCCTAGTATTTCTTGTGGAAAAAGCCGTCTGTCCCCGGTGCCTTATCCCCCTCCATTTCATCTATAACTGCTTTGACTTCCTCTTAAGAAAGGTTTTTCCAAATCAGCTGCCTGCTCCTCAGTTATTCCATTGAAACGCGCCCATCTTATTTTGGCCTAGTTTTTTGGATCAGCATAAAGATTTTTGTAATAATCAATAACTGATTTCTATATCTCTTCTTCCCTCTAAATTTCCCTTCCTTGCACATTTAACTTCTTGATTTTGCTTATTTTCTTCATCAATGGTAGAAGTTTTGTGAACTTGAATTCAACGATAAAATATTTGGATTGAAAGCTCGTGAGCTTAGCTCGACTTGGGTGACCAGGGTTCAAATCTTGGAAACTATCTCTCTATATGTGCAGAGGTAAAGCTGCATACATCTGTCCCTCCTTGGACTCTCAACCAACCAGTGCACTTGTGGAAGCCTCGTGCACTAGACTCTCAACCAACAGTTCGAAAGTGTGTCTTCATAGTCGAAAAGACGGCCCATCCTATGCCCCTTCCCTTTCACCTTCCAAGTGTACTGGTCCTGGATCAAACAACCATCATAAGAAAAGGTTTTGGAAAGGAGAGAGGAGGCATTAGGTTAAAGCTTAAGGGATAGGTCATTACTCATTACAACCAATGATATTCATTTTTTCACCATTGGCCTTAATGATATGACTATGGTTGGTCTTAGAAGTGCCATTTGGGGGTTTGGGGTAGGCACTAGTCATATGATTAGTTGCTCCTGAATTAATGATCCAAATATGAGACTGAGAAGAACAATAACTAGATAACTGACCAGACAAGTTGATAGCAGAAAAGGCAGAGGAACTAGCAAAGGATACCAGTTTTCGAATTTTTCATCCATGGATGTAGACGGTTCACCCTTAGTAGAAGAATCACCCTTGGTAGAAGAGATGTCAGTGGTTTGCCCCTCTAATACTTATGCACGTGGCTAGTTCCTTTTCTGGATTACCTTAGATGGCCTAATCGGACAGTTTGGAATTATGTGACCATGTTGTTTACAATAGGTGTAAACATTCCCCTTCTTGCAGTGAGAAGCAATGTGTCAATATTCTTTACATTCGTAACACTGAGTTATTGAGAAGTCTTTAGCACCAAAGGTAGTGTCAACTCCAAAATCCATTGATTTCCTATCAATACTTACAATAGTAAGGAGTCTAGTCTCTTCCCTTGTTGAGATTGTTTGGATGCAAGGGTATTCTTGTCTTTTTGTTCTTTTGTATTTGGGCACCTATATGAGGGCTTTCTTATAATTTCTCTCCATAGTATAAAATTCCAAGTTTGAGAGAAGAAAATAACTCTCTTTTCTCCATTTGAACCTTTCTTTCTTCTTCTCCTCTCTCTTCTCCTTTTCTTCTTTTTGTTTTCTTTCTCAGTAAAGCCTAAATATTGTAGCTTGGTATCAGAGCAACTAGAAGGTCATGGGAGAGTCTTTCTCTACTTGTTTTTGCTTAGAGGGTGAGCTGCTAACGTCAGACTGCCGCCAGATGACATCAATAGTCCGTACAGGTGGTGGAAGCAATATCTAATTTTGGTATATGTCTCATTGTGGTTTGATGCTTTCATGATTTTTTTGTGGATTTTTCAAGTGAAAAAATGCAAAAATTCCAGATCTGGTTTAGAGGCTTGTTTCTCTTGTTTGAGGAGTTTTTGTTTTGCAAAACTGATTCTTCTAGGTCGTTTTATATTTTGGGAATGACGAGAAGTGATTCCGTATTTTTCTGAACCATAAAAAACTTTTGGGAGTTTTTCTCCCTCTATTTTGTTGCCAGCCAACTTTTTGGCCCCTTTTGGGCTTGTTTGTATTTCAGTTGGGCTTTGGAGTGCTTCTTGGTTGCCGAAATAGTTGTTTGTGAGGTATGGAATCACAAAAAGATATATAGATGGGTTCCAGTGTGTTTCTTGGAAATGTTGATGTTTCTAGTGGAATGATAACCACCGTAAAACTTGATGGGACCAATTTTCTGGAGTGATTCCAATCGGATAAACATACTATAACAGGGAGAGGTACGTTGGGATTCATTATAGGCAAGGAGGTGAAGCTGAAAATTGAAGACCCTAAGTTTGCAAAGTTGGAACATGATAATTCACTAGTAATGTCTTGGCTGGTCTGTTCGGTGCAACCTTACATTGCTCGTAACTACATGTTCCTCTCGATTTTTAAAGATATTTGGGATAGGGTTGTCGCCACTTACTCACAGGTTAACAATACTGCTAGAGTATATCAGCTTAGGAGAGAAGCTTGTAGTATGCATCAGGGGGGAGAGAACAATGGCTATGTATTTCCCCTCAATCATGGTTTAAAGTATCGATATGATACGCCCTGTATTGGGCGTATCGTATTGTATCTTTTGAAAAAGATATGGTCTGATACGCCTATTTCTAGGTGTTTCAGACCCCAACTTTTTTTAATAATAAAAAACATGTTTTAAGATTCCCAAAAAACCAAAATTTGAAAAAAAAGGTGTTTCGGCCGTTTCTAAGTACTGATACAATACGGGCGATATGCGTATCATATCGATACTTTGAACCTTGCCCTCAATACAATCTCTTTGGGAAGAAATGGACCATTTGAAAACTTTTGAGTCGAAGGATCCTATAGATGCAAAGTAGTACAGGAAGCACATTGAGGGGAACAAGGTCTTTGGCTTTTTGTCTGGCTTAAATCCAAAATTTGATTTCACTAGGCAGCATATTCTGAGTACGGGCATTGTCTCTCTGGATACTGCTTACTCTGTTGTGCAAGGGGAAGAAAGTAGAAGGGCAGCCGTGATGCAACCTTCTGTGATTGAGCACTTTGCCATTATGTCCTCTAAGCCATAGGACAAGTGGTAGTAAGCAGTGTTTTAAAAGGTGTGGTAGCCGTACACCTAGAGGTGCTCCCAAAACGCCCTGAGGGGTGTGCTAGAGGTGTTAACACCTCTGAGGCATATGCCCTAGGTGCAAGAGGCGTACGCCTCATGCGCTTTTTTCATGAGGCGTGCTAGAGGCATATGCCTCATGTGCCTCATGCTCATCATATATAAAAAGAAAAAAAAGAAAAGGAAAGGAAAGGGAAAGAAATAGAAAGAGAAGAAAAACAGAGAAAAGAAAAGAAAAGGAATGGGAAGGGAAGAAAAGATAAGGGGAAAGAAAGTGGTTTGCCCCCCTGCCCCCTTTTCGATGCAGCCCAATTTGTTTTTTTTTTTTTTTTTGAGTTAGGGGGGTCTTGCTCTGCTCCAACGAGCGAACGAGATAAGGGGAAAGAAAGTGGTTTGCCCCCCCTGCCCCCTTTTTGATGCAGCCCAATTTGTTTTTTTTTTTTTTTTTTGAGTTAGGGGGGTCTTGCTCTGCTCCGTTGAGCGAGCGAAGTGAGCTCTCCTAAGGAGGCTTACGCCTCCTTGTGTTTGGGAGGCTTACGCCTCTTACATTCTGAACTATGCTTCACGCCTCTAGGTAGTTGAACACCTCGCGTCACGCCTCAGCGTTCTAAAACATTGGTAGTAAGCATCCTTCTACTGAGAAATTCGATGGTGTCATCTGCGAATATTTCAAGAATCCAAGGCATACTTAGGAAAGATCTTGGAAACTCAATCCTCACTTGAAACCGGATAAGTTTAAAACTAGAAAGAAAGGCAATGCTCATTTGGCCACAATTGGGGTTAGTCTTCTAATGCGACTATTTTACCTTCTAACTCCTCTGACGTGATGGATAAACTTCGGAGTCTTCTATTACACTTCGAAAAGAGTAGGGCATCCTCTTCTTCTGGTTTTGGTAATCCATTTGGTGTAAATGCTAACACAGGTACTGCACTTCCTTGTTCCACCTCCAGCCCATGGGTTGTTGACTCTGGGACTAGTGCCCATATGATTGGTATGCCTTCACAATACATATAAACTAACCCCTAGGAAGGGCAAGATTACTGTTGTAGATGGATGTCAGACCCCTATCTGGGGTTAGGGAGAAGTCAAACTTACCCATAACATTTCCTTCGATCTGTTCTTCATGTTCCTCAATTTCATAAAAACTTATTATCTGTCAGTTCTCTTATCAAGTCCCATAATTGTTCTGTAACCTTTTTTCC